TCCTTAAGACTAATAATAGAAAAATGCCATCAAGCCATCAAGTTCACGTCGGAATCAGAGATTAACTCTGAATTCCATTTTTTTTGTTTTTCTAAAGAGGAAATCTGATGGTTCTCTTCAAAGATCGATATGCAGCAAACCAACAAGGAATGGTCAGTAAACAAATTTCCATAGGTGGGTCCCTATTTGAAGAAAGAGAAATCTGATCCATTCCTTATCCTCAAGAATAAGGAGGATATGTTCAAATGATACAACCGATGGGAAACTGGGGCGACTCAGACAAGTCCTCACAGAGAATGGATATCCTCCAAGATTTATCGAGAAAAACCTGAAGTTAAGGGCAAAGCCTGAAAGAATCCAGACGGTGCCGAAGAAACTGCTCTTTATGAGTGTTGAATTTAAAGGTGATACCGCAGCTGAGATCCTGAAGAATCGCTTATGCAGATCACTAAGGAAAGCTGAGCTACGTATCAATTTCTACAGCCGACAAATGATCAACAGATGTGTGAAGGATAAACTGCAGCTCTGGGCCACCTCAATGTGTGTTTATAAATTCACCTGCTCAAGTGAAGCTAGTTATATTGGCCGCCTCACAAAGAGCACGCTTTCCAAACGCATCTCTGAACATTATCCGGCATGGTTAGCAAAGGGACAGTCTAAGACAATTACTAGCTAAATTCTCGAGCATTTGGTGAACTCAGGCCACGTAGCTCCACCAGAGTCGTCTTTCAAGATCATCTACAAAGTGAAACCAAATTGTACAAAGGGCGTCAGGTTTAGGCTTTTGTGTATGGTGGAGGCGTTGGCGATTCATCAATACAACCCTGAACTCTGTATACAGAAAATGTTTGTCCAGTCTCTTATTCTACCTTGGTCCTAACCTCTTCACTAATCGTTCCCGGTAAAAAAAATTTGATTTTTTCTTTTCTTTTTAATTTTACTTTTAGTTTGCTTTTGCTTTAATAATCAATTCACTATTATCACTCTCATATGCTCCTTTTGTATATTTTCACACCCTCTTCACACTTGCTAAACTGACACTCAGATACCTTTATTCTCACTCAAGAGCAATTTTAACCTTATCAAACTTCTATTTTCTGTGCTGTTGAGTACCACGTAATTTACAACTTTTAATTTTCACTTCTAAAGCCACTTCTGAGTAATTATATCAATTATGTCACCCCTTATTACTCAATAATAGACAACTATATATTTTTGTAAATATAAATACGACTGCACAGCCTCTGAAGATGATTTCGTCGATAAAGAAAATTTTATTCGCTGAATGTGTCTTTTATTTTCTTCAAAAATGAAATTATTTAGTTTATACTGATGGTTTCTTCACTTGATTAGTTCGTTTTATGGTTTTTAAACACTATTGTACTTAAATGTGACCATGATTTCAGGTTAACATCTCGTCAGTGGTTAAAACATGAAGACAATAAAATCAGTAGTGCAGAATCGTAAAGAATAGGTAAATTAGTGAATAATTGTTCCATTCACTAAAATTTGAACTCGTTCTTTGTGTATTTCGAAAAATTTATAAAACGTCTTGAAATATGAAGGTTATTATTTTGACAGTTGCACTGATTTAGAAGTTGTTTGCGTTCCGAACGAGTCACCCAGCTTAGTGTTCACATGACAGTTCAATGGGTACTAGTAATAGGGTGGTGCATATGTAAAGTAGTCGCACTATGAGCTGAACACTTTACCATTATTTTGATGTTATATATTGAAATTATTTCTTTTGAACTTCGCTGAGACTATACAAATATAATTTTCACATATGGCTATTTCTCACTCCGTGCCTAGTTATTTTTGAACTATTCGGTGAGATCTTGATCACAGCTCATATGAAGAATACAGCAGCAATTTGTTGGCAGAGGTGTTTATTTCGTAAAATGATGTACATTGATCGACAGGCATCCCTCATTATATGTGTATATCGCTTCACGTGTAACTATGGCAGCAGTCACATTAGAAGAACAGAAAGATGGTCTATGTTAGATTCTCTGAACACGTAACAAACAGCCTTCGATTAAAGCGTCCAAAGTCGTCAATTGCAGAACACCTGATAGACTCAGGAGACTGAGTGGATGCAATGGGAGCATTCACACTAATTAACAGACAAAACACTCCAAGTCTTTTTCTTATTTTGATTTCATCGTATGTTTCAAGCCTCCCTCCTCCCCACACCTTTCATCTTTCTCTTGACTTCCGTTTGAAACCTAATGCTTAATCCTTTGAATTCTACTCAATGAATTACATCATTTTTTCATTCCAATTCATACACACCAAATTTTGGTTTTTCGATTTTATGAGCCTTAGTCGCAGTATTTTATTATCTCTGATAACGCGATCATCACCACCCGAACTACAAGAATCGTTCACTTTTTAGGAGAAACTTCGCTCTCATAAAGTGTGTGTACATTAATAATTTGAGATAACCTGATAATACTTATGTTTTTTTACACTATGACTTCCTTACAAACAACCTCACCGGATTTATCATGATAACAATATATGTGTTAAAACTGTATTATAACTGGTTTTCCAAAAACATAGCAGTTTGTACGCAGCTGACGAGAACCCATGATATGCAATAGATCTATATTACTCTGCAATAATGTGTTGCTGAAACTCTGTTCAAATTTATAAAGAGGATTTCCTGTATAAAAATCTTAAATTTAAACTTCATTTTGTGACAGTTATGTGTATTATGCTTGCTTTGTCTTCATTTCATGCTTTCTATATTGCTTCACAATGGTCTTTATTTCTTCTCTTGGCGACTTTATCAATGGCCCCAGGACTTAAGATTCTTGTGAAGGGCGGTATACTACTCAGTAATAGAAATACTCAGTAGCGAATACCGCACTACTGAAAACTATGAAAATTATAGGTTTAACAACTGAGTCAAAGATCTGTCTCTGATAAACAAGAGAACCTTAGTTTAAAAATAATTAACACTACTATAAACTTACACTGCCTAAGGATTCCGACTATCCACCTTGAAGTTACTGATTAGACTCTGTACAAACTGAAGTGAGACTTCCAGATCGTAATCACTCTGATCAGCAGATAAAGGGAGAGTTATTCAAACTAAAATTTGTATAAGATAAATGATGTTAGATATATTTAAAGAATCTGAGATTCATTTGAGACTTCTTGATTATTGTCAGTCATCTTCAAGATGAATGTACAAATACTTCGAAAACACAATATCCCTCTCGCGGATTTAAATATGCTTTTCAGAGCCAAAGTATATTATGCACACATACAAACTTATTTATTCTTTGTTTACTCTTCTAGACTCGTCATCATGTAGTGATTCGAAGTTTTATGTGAAATATGATCTTATCCGTCCACTATATCAAGCGGATGTTAGCTGGTTGGAGGGAATCAGCAAGAAGATATAGATCTAGGCCTCTTGCTTATTGGCATTTGTCAGCAGGGCGTATGCGCAACATCGAAGGTACTGATGTCAAGATACTGATTCCAATCCAATCATCCATTGTTGCATTCAGAGGCATTACTGTTGAGTTGTTTGAATTCAGCAGTCCATGGCCTCTTGTCAATTACCTCTATCTATCTGACATCCCTTCAAATGCACCACAGTGATGATTACAGTTTAAATTTGACTGGTTGAATTCAGTCAGAACCAACAATCAGGTCTACACATATGACAGGGGCTACATCCCAGTAAATAACCAATGCATAGTGTCGATTATTTTGTCTAAATACCATGACGTCTGCATAAAAATACATACTAATGATTGATTGAAATGATTGCTTGCATACCGCTCATATCAAGCAGTAGTACTTGCCAGCCAGATTTGGGTAATCTAAACACCGGGAGGACATATCACTCCTTTGGAACTGAGCTCTTCAATGGTGTACCTGGTGTGAATCAGCCCAGAGGACCGAGTCAATTCAAACCACCTTATTTCTGTCAGTCCCAGGAGTGAAATTTTCACCAAAGTTTCTTTTGGAAACGAAATTATTCAGATCAGTGTATGATCTGCTCTCTGAATTGAGTCAAACCGGATACACCAGTGATGACCTCAATTCCAAAGGAACAATACGGCCATCAGGTGTTTAGATCGCTTCGATCTGGCTAGCCAGAACTATTGCTCGATGTGAGTGGCATAAAACTACTCATCTCAATTAATCAGTAGTATATTGTTTTGTGCGAATTTGCTTGCCTTCTTGATTACTATTTACCGTATCACGCAGATCACAGACTGTGGTCTGAATAATTTAGTTCCCCCAAAAAACTAGTGAAAATTTACCACTGGGACTGTGTACATTGTAAATCGCTAACCATTTTGCAAACTATTAATCTGATTTACACTGACATTGTATTTCAACAGCATTTCACTGTCAAGTTAACCACTGCCTTATGGAAAAGAACTAATCAGTCCGAGAAGTTTTAATGATATTACTTATTTTCTATGATCGTTTGCCTTTTGCAACCTAATAATGAGGAAGTTAAAGAAGAGACATCCAGGGGAACGAGCGTACTAGCGACCTTGGAACGGTCAATGATGCTAAAAAGGTAAATTTGGGTTCCCAGCATGACCTTAATCTTAACCTTTCATCAAACTAACCTTGTACCAACAAGATATTCTGTTTGATAGCCTTACACTTTTCTCAACAGTTTTTTAAGTGAATACAGTGCCATTTACCAGGTTTCACTACCATTCTCGAACTGAGTACTCCTAAGGTTATTGCTGCATTCGTTTCTCACGTTGTTTATTCTTAAACTCCTCCACAACAGTGAAACCAAGCCGCAAATAATTTCTATCATAAAAACTGTAATAATTTCCTTTTTCTTTTTTATCTAAAAAGGGCACTCCAAGTCGATCAGTAACAAAGAATCAGCACAAAAACAAAAATCCACTGAACGCATTCACAGTTCAATAGAAATAAATACAGAACTGATAATAAATATGAGAAACCTATAATTAAATCAAAAGAAATCGAAAATATTTCATATGAAGAGGAACCATCAAAATCCTCAATTACATCAACAGGTTCATCGTTAGTTGTTAGTTCAACGAATAAACGATCAAGATCAGCATATACAAATTTACAGTTAGTTGAATTAGAGAAAGAATTTCACTATTCAAATTATCTTGCACAACCAAGACGAATAGAATTAGCTGAACAACTTGGCTTAACTGAACGTCAAATTAAAATATGGTTTCAAAATAGGCGAATGAAACAGAAAAAGGAACATAAAGATAATGAGAAAATAAGATATGAGTAAGTTATTATTTGTTCACCTTATTATTATTATTTATTCAATAGCTAGTGGTGCCTGAAGGTCAAGTGGAAATCTGGGGCACCACATGATTCCAATCAGAGGTACCTTAGGACTACCTGTCTGGCGTTGTGTTGACTGAACTCGGCGACATAAATGGTTTAACCAGGCCATCATTTCACCACAGTCACTACTAGTAATAAAGGTTATCCTACTCTCCAGTAATTATTACACTAGCAACTCAGCGAAGTTATCTTATTTCAAGCCTAATCATACTAAATTACAGGGTGGAGGGTAGATTGTGAGTTGATAACGAGAATATATGAGATAGCCAAACTTTAGAAAAGTGTTACTGATGTATAAGCCAATGATTGAAATTTTGGGGTTGTGGCAGGATTCTGGTAGTCTACCAGTGAAGGGACGATACCCAACTGCTTATCACCAACGGAAGGGATTATATACTACTATTGTTATTCCCTTGGGTTCCGAGTTGAATGTAGGGTTTCAACAATACTTCTTCTATTTTCTACTGTCCTCTTTAACGGGGCCCACGATTGCCCATAATCTCTCATCTCCTCTTCAAACGATTCCCTCCATTTCACCCTCAGACGACCTACTCGTCGTCCTATTGGGATTCCACTTGAGCAATGGCCTGCATTGAGAGCTATGTCATTCGACGATCTCCTCGAAGTTTGCGCGATCCATCTCTATTTTATCCTACATATTTGTTGAGCGATCGTACGTTGCTTAGTTTGTTGCCAGAGTTTCTTGTTGCTGATTGTTTCTGGTCAGCCATTTGATCTTCAGCATGGAGCCAGTGAAGGGGGTCTGAAACCTGTTGGAAATCCTTTCTGTGACACGCCAACGGAAGGGGATAAAGAAGACCTATTGCTACTTCTTAGATTTTAGGTTTTGTAAAGTTTTTTATTAGTTCCAGTATAGACTTCATTAGGGGATCATTGATAACTGAGGTATAATGGACAGTTGTCTTGTCCTTGTTAGAGACTCTTCATCAGGAATGGAACTCAGGCCAGTTCGTCTACCATTCAGCCACTGAGTCGGAATCCAATAATTTGTGAATCCTAACTTATGTCGATTCATGATACAGCACTACCATCAATCAATGGCATCGATGAGCATCCACTTCACGCTGACATGACTGAACCTACTTGTCACGACTTCGCTTATGCTGCTTGGTTTCCAATAGTTTTTTAACTGACGTTTGTTTCGGTACAAAATGTACTTTGGAACGACCACTATTGTCTGAAATATTTGAGAAGCCTTTGATTGTTGCACTGATCTTAATTCACAGGTAGAATGATTCAAAATGAATTAAAAGATGAAACACAGAAAGTATCGAAAAACAAGTGTTTTCATATTCTGTGGTGTTTTTTAATTGTTATTTTCGTACGCCGAAATCTGTTTAAGCAACACCGACTGATTATTGGACATTAGGACAGCACCTCTTAAATTATTTTAGTGTTTATTGAAATATCTATTCTAATATTACTCAATGGCTAGTTTTGTCTATCCAGGAAGTGTAATGTGAGTGAGTTTAGGCTACTGAATTATTACTGATTATAACGGAACATTTTTTCGGTGTTCTTTGTTTCTTGATATTTACTGGATACTTCCAGTCAGCAGTCAGATTTATCTTAAAATCGATACAGTCCTTACAAATTTTACAAGTGAATTACTACCTTTGGAAACAATGGAGAAAATCTATAACTCAGATGTATGCTTCTGGCTTGTGGTTGTGTTTTCAGCTGGCTAACTTAATTACAAAGCTTTCATTATCTTTCCACACAACATCTTCAAATTTGGGAATTTTCCATGAATGATATAACTGTCCTAACTCCTAATGAAGCTAACTGTAATTGGTTGTCTTCAGGAGTTCTCTTACTCTTGTGTTCATTTATGTTGGTATCAACCATTTTGTTGACCTAAAGTTGGACTTTTATTCAAGTGACTTGTTTTTCGTTGGTGTTGGATAGTCATAATCTATGTAAAAATGTCTGTTGAGCACAGACTGATTAAAGTACCAAGTTTCAAGAAATTCACTGGCATCTTTTAGGATTACTGTCTAGTGCACGTGAGTTAGTCAAGGCAATATAAATTTCCTGGAGTTCTGTAGAAAAGTTGCAGTAACTGGACTTCGTGATATTGAGTTTGATAACACCTCTATAATAATACTGCACAGTAGTGGCACTATTTCACCAACAATCAATATTTGAAAATCATAGGTCTGCAATAGAGGAAAGTCGAAACGAAGACCTCAGTTAGATAAACATTCGTATTAGCATCTTCTAGATTTCAAATTCATTTACAGGTAAAGTTTTTTCTTTTTATATCTCAATACCACTCTACTACAGTAATATTATTCAGAAAGACTGTAACACTTGCAGTCAATATCATCATGTGGCCTAATTACTGAACTACAGATGCACTTATTTCTATGTGTAGGTGAATTTTAACAGATTTAGTGGAATACCAACCGTCTTTCTCGAGGTTACTAATCAGTTTTAGCCGCATAATTATGCATTTACTAACATAAAAATAACAGTAATTCATTGATTTTGAATGGATAGATTAAAACGTAGTTAAATGGTGCTGAACAATGCTATAGAGTTTGAAAATAGGACGAAACAACTATACTATATTCATTGGTTTTCAATAATTCTCTAAATGAAGTCATTTTGTGATTAATTTTACGGAGAGAATAATGTGTTGTTGATGCGATTACTTGTAGGCGTCGGTGGCACAGTGGTTAGGACTCTCGCCGACCATGCACATGGTCCGGGGTTCGAGCCCACGCCGACGCGCACCTGATATCTATGGTCGGCCTGCGAATTTTGGGCTACCGATATCCACGCTGAAAATTTCATACTTGTATCAAAAATACGGTGTGGAATCAAGCTGTAATCAAAAATAAAAAATAAAAATAAATAAAAAATAGCCTTAGGTAGGCAGTCTGATATTAATGCAGTGAACTGAGGTGCAACTTAAAACTTTAATCGGTTTGAGAAGACTGTCTTTGACAGCCACTCACTAACAGTCAACAGATAGTTGTCTCTTTTCTAATTTATCACGACTAGGATTGAACTATGAAGATCTGATTTGATATCTAGTGCAGTGATAAGACAGTTACACTGCATTTGTTTATGTAACAGCTAGGTAAAATGAAGACCTGGCCAGTAGTTGGATCTTTCCGCTTAGATGGTGGAGGGCTAAGTTAATTCTTAAAGTCATGCATACTTTACACACAGGTTGAATAAAGTTAGACATACAATTGATGAAAACTAAACGTTAATTTTGTTAACAATTATTTTCGTTGATTATATTTAGTCAATGGGCACAATTAGATTCGACGTTTTGCTCATTTCGAACTCAGTCACTCTGAATAGATCATTTTTGAACCAAGATTATATAAGAGCGCTGAATGGTCTTGAAGCACAACTACCAACCGCCTGATAACCAGTCTGAACTCCACTCCACATACCGAGCTCTAAGCAGCCTTAGATGTGGCTGATTGCCACCTGCATAAAACTACAAGCGACTATCGAGTGACACGTATTAGGGTTTAAGTAAACGAATAGGCGTTCGGACCCTGTGGCTCTAAGCTAAGTGTCCAAGCTAATAAGTTACATTGTCATTTATATTTACTGAATTATTTCTAGTGAATATAAAACTGATATTTGGCATATTACTAATATATAATTTGCTTTGTATAGTGCTGTTTGGTTTAGCAGTCACATAAACGAATGTGGTTGATAAATTTCAGTTATCTGACAACTGATACTTTTTTTCTCGGGACAATTTCACTTATTTTTTCTTCCATCTGTTAGGGAGTTTCGTAGACATAGTTCTCTTGATAGTGTTTGACAAAGCGAGAGCGACCAAACTTTGCGGTATAAAACGATATCGTCGTTTTGTTTCACAGGTCCTAATCAGCTACAAATTATCTGAGATTAGAATAGTTATAAAAGAATGAAAATAACATGAAATATTGGAATGATAGCACAGAAAATTTTACAAATTAAGGGGACCCAAAGTGCAAACTTCACGATTTATAGATGAAGTAATCATTAACCGTTTTTGCAATGAGAAACAGAAAGGGCAGAGCTGAAGACCAGGGAAAAATAAACATTACTAGTTTGTAAGGTTACTCAGGAAATTACACTTTATAAGATTGAAATCAGCTCAGTGAGCTGAAACCATTAATATGGATGGTGATGTTATTAATGTGACCTGTTTGCATCAGCCTGAGATGAACTTATTGTAGCCAAAATTTTGAGTAACATTTCACTTATTTCATCACGTTCCGATAAAAATGTTTTAATTGCAGCAAGGGTGCATCTGTTGGAATTTGTGAAACAGTTTCTGAAGTCTTTGGTTTAATACAGTTCTTTCGTTACAGGATTTCATCATGAGCTGACATTGGTTAGAGAACCACTGGAAAACCTGGGAGTACTGGGCAGCTGTTTCGTCCCAGTTTGGGACTCTTCAGCAGTACACATCCACCGTGGTTCGAACCCAGGACCTTCTGGTTACAAGGCGAGCTCGTAGACCATTAAGTCACTGGGACCCGATCCAATATCCCATGAATTCCAACTTCTGCCAATTCAATTCGTTGGTTACATCGATATGTCTGATAGTAGGCTGTACGACTACAGTTTAGGCGTAAATTAGCAATCCGCAGTCTTTTCATAATCATTATTAGGGGAGTTCTTGCGTTAGATTAGTAAAGAAAGTAGACAAAGGTTCAAAAGCAACTAACGTGCATGGTTAAGTGTTTTAAAAATATACGTATAAGACGGGAGTTGGAAGTGACGCTATGCTATCAGTAAAACAAAATATAAGTATGACACGTATTTGTTGTTAGGATACCTTTGATTACTTTCGAATGATTCCGGAATAATATACAGTAGTCACTGTTGTAGTATATACAGCCTATTCAGTAATAGAATAGATTTTGACCCCCTGTTGACTATTCATGGGTGGAACTATTGAAAAATTACCCATCTTAACTCCTGTTTGACATCTTTTGTAATCTCGCCTATATACAGTCATTCGAAACATTTTTCACCATTCTTAACCCATTTTAATACTACTCTTACCAATTATCCCAAATTCTACCCATTATTTTATCATCTCTCCTTCATTACTGTTTACTTTATCTTATTAATAATCTAAACGATGACTTTCGAGATAGATAAAACTAACTGAAGTCCAAGTGGTAACATGTTTTTCTTTTATGTCAAACTTTAATCCAATTTGTTGTTAACTTTTTATAACATCATTACATTTTCCCTCATTTATTGTTACTTCTCATTTAGGTATTGTCCTCCTCTCTATGAAAATTATAATCCATGGAATCCAAATTACCTAGTAAATACCAATTCTCAACATTCAGTAAACTTTTTCCCCACTCTATCATCATCATCAACAACAGCAATAATGCCACAGCAAGCATTCACTTCCAGTTTACACCCATTAACATACTCCAATCAATCTACACCATCTTCACATTCATTGACATCAACATACATCTCTTCTACTAATTCTCATCGCTTAAACAACGGCACCAATTCAAATCATGCAAATATAAAACTGTATGATCCATTAAAACAAGAAATAATCAATAATTCTTTCAAAGACTGGTCATCTGCATTAAATAAAAATAATTATTCAATATCAACGGACTCAGATACTTTTCCTTCATCCTATTCACCTTCGTCTCTGTCTTTTAATCACCAGTTATCTCAAGACAGAATGAATTTCTGTGTTAATTCAAGTGTAGTTAAGTTTAATTATGCCAAGAAATTAACACGTAATTATACTACAGATGAAAGTGAATCCAAACAATCATCTTATTTCAACAACAAATCACAAAATCAATCATATAATTCATTAGAATCCTACAATTTCCCAACATCAACACACTGTCAGCACTTCAGTTCAAATGAGTCATCTGTACATCCTGGTTATAATTATGATTTTAGTCAATGTTAAGAAGAAAACGGTGGTGTAAATCTAACTAACCAGCTTTTATTGCACTCAAACAATTATGTAAGACTTTACTTTCACTGCATAGGCATTTCTAGTCAGCTTATGAGTGATTTGTCGGATATATTGTTTGTTTTAATAAAATACTATTAGACAGTCGTTCATTTATATATGTCCAAACCAAGTTCACTTTTAACAGTTTGAAAAAATTTGGGCATTGGGCATGCGATATTCATTATAATAAAGTTTTTTGTATTTCCCAATGAATGAAAAACAAAACGATATTGTTTTTACTGACGTCTCGCTATTTAATGCTAATAGCTTTATTTAAACTGCCTAGAGACATTAGTACCTATACCATAATTAGATGTATCAGGTGCAACAACAATTTCTAGCACCGGGTTATAACGTACAAGCAGTGGATCATAAGAGATTTCATCAAAGTTCAACAATAGCGTCCAAGGGATGTGGACACACGAGTGACCTTCATACGACTCATAATAAGAAGTGACTTTTGCACAAAAAAATGACGTATATCTACAAGAAAATGCATGAAAACACATTAAACAGGGTATCTTTCTCTGACATGACTTAAAAATGCGTCCCAGTTATAATGAAGAGTATCACTTGCTAAGTTAGACTAGTTTCTGTACACGTACTCACCGAGGTGAATAGAGATGAGCTGTTTTTGTGAACTGTTTATCTTTCTTATCCTGTTGTGTATTCTTCCTCAAAAGCCCTCGGTTGAATTACTATGGTCTCCAGTAAGAGGATCGGAGACCACTTACGAGGAAGATGTGGATGATAAAACAAATTAAAATAAGTGATATCAACTATAAATCTATTCATAATTGTAACCCTAATCTTAATCCCGACCCTAACACAATGTCTGAACAGTACTTAAAAACGTGATCTGTTATATATATCGTTATAATCCTCTATGGGTGCTGATAGTTAAAGTTTCTCGAATGAATCATCTACTTTTACTGGCAAATAAGTGCAATGCATCTTGCAGGTTTGAACTTTTGTTTTAACGCATTCATGTAATATGGTGCCGTGCCTTCACTAGTCTTCCGGCGTAAATGCTCGCCCATGGCTTGATCCCTCGTTGTGCTACCATTAAACGCACTCTTGAGATTGCTATTCCAGCCAGTTAACAGATAAGTTGTACAGTATTCTTCTCTACTTAATTTGACGTTTAGTATGTGGTAAGAATATAATCCTCATCTGAGCACACCACCTGGTCACAAGCCTTTTTACTTCGAGTTAGTTTATCAGTACTTACACGTTAGGTAGAGTACTGATCAGGGTTACCCGGGGAAAGCAAGTTTAGTAGGTGCTGAAGTTAAGGACTCCCTAGAGGTTGACATTGACACTTACATAAGCATCACTTAAGTTGGGCTGCATGGATTGTTTTCCGCAATTAACCTTGGTGAAAATATGTTTTGGTGCTAGCAGTGACTATAAATGATCTTCCAATGCATCGACGAAGTAGTAGAAACATCTTCACAGATTATGATTAATCCATTTGTATTTCCTACTACGGTAAGCAGTGCTGTACAGGAAGAATCGTTCATTGATTTAAGAACATTCAACTCTGCTAATAGACTCAACTCTCCATCAATTGACCCAAAGGCTGTCAAAGGAAATGATCATTTGAGGTAGAAAACAGGTTTGGTAGCACTTCTGAGGCATAGTTTGGCTTTCCATAATGAATAACATCCCAGAGTTTCACTGAATACTGATTTAGGTTTGCCTTACAGAATACTGATAAGGTTATTCCCATCTAGATCAACAGCTATTTGAGCGAATAACATACCTACGAACAAACTGAATTTAAGGCTGTTTCTAAAAGCGATAATTTATCAATTCAGTCAGTGTCCATAATATCCAAATCACGACGATTAGCAGGATAACATAATCCTTTAAAATCCTGTGATGATTGAAAATTTCTATCACTGTATCGTTTTAATACTTACTGTTTTCTGTTAATGTTTATTATATAAATTAGAATTAATTCTGACAAATACAATCTCCTAAATTCTTCCCAATCTGTGTTGTTCTTTGGTTTCCTGTGATTCGGCCATTGCGAAATACAATTAAAAGTAACTATTACTAATTCTTTTACATTACCCACTAACTAGTGAGAAGTCTCTTGACTGTTGCAGGTATTGACAGCCTTGATGAATTACAACTAGGTTTGACTAAATTTATGAAATCGTCTGCAGGAAGATCGTGAAACCGGATTATTTTAGCATAGTGCTTTAGGCTTCTAAGTCTCTGACAATCAAAAGACTTCTGTTGGAGCGTGACTACAGGGTTTGACTCAATACAGGAAAAGAATTTTCTGATATCTGAACCAGTTGAAGGAGATCACTGAAGAACAAACAAACGAAAGAAGTAGTTCAGAGAATTTACTTTATTGAGCTGGACAGTTGCACTTATATGTAATTTTTCAAGAAAGATGATAATAACAAAATTGACGAGTTGTTATAATTAGAGTTTTTAACATTAATCAGAACATATTATTATTCCCATGGGTTTCAAGTGGAACATAAGGCTTCATCTACATTTTCCCTTGTCCTCTGAGGTTCTCTTTAGCCAGTTCGACGATTGCCCATAGGTCATCATCTCTTCATCCCACTACATCCTCTATGTTACCCTCGGATACCCAAATCATTTCCATTACATTAAGGGCCTGGAGCGCGATGTGACCCAATGATTTCCTCAGGGTGCGTCCAACTCATCTCCATTTCCTAAGGCATATTTGTTGGGCGAAAAGTTCTTGATTGGTTTGTTCTCATGGCTTCTTGGTGCAAATGCTTTCCAACCATATGATCTTCAATGTGGAGCGAAGGCAGATGTTGATGAAAGCCTGAAGTGGCCTGTTGGAAATCGTTTTAGTAACACGCCAAGTTTCTTACCAATACAGAAGAAGCGACTGAATTCAGATTTGCATTGTAAATTCGAATCTTGTTGTTTATGCTGACTGAGTACAGAAGATTTCTGTGGTGATTGACAATTTCTATCTCTGTATTGTTTAAATACTTACTGTTGACTGTTGATGTGTTTCTTATATGAATTGCATTAGAATTCCGCTAAATACAAATTCCTGAATTCCGCCCTCTCTGTGTTTTGTTTGGATTCTTGTAATTCGGTCATCTCGAAATACTAATATTACGACTACAATAAATTACTACAAATTGGCGTCGCGATGGAACTAAATAACCTTGGAAAATTTCCTATAAATGGTTCACCGCGGGAAATCGTTGATTACCTTGAATGCTTCAATGCGTGGTGCATTTCAAAGAACGTTCGGGATGACAAAATACCAGCACATTTCATCACTGCTATTGGGCTAGATGCATATACCCTAGTGAAGAATCTGGCGTTTCCAGATAAACCTATTTCTCTTTCATATGTCAAGATTCGCGAACTTCTGATAAATCACTTTCATGTAACTACATTTGAGACCAGAGAGAGGGCTCAATTCCATAAACTGGTTCGTGCTCCCAACCAGAGGATTAGAGACTTTGTTCTGCAACTCCAAATACAAGCTTCAAAGTGTAACTTTGGAGATCAGCTGTATACTCAACTACGTGATCGTCTAATTGCTGGAATCAATATTCCTAAGTTAGAGAAAGAGTTAATTCAGATTCCTTCTTGTACCTTTCAAACTGCTAAAGATTTATGTATTACATATGAAGATGTCAACAGTGAATACTCTGCTCCAACTACGTCAGTATCTGATGTCATGTTGTCCAAAGTCGAAAATACAAGTGGTCATGGAAAGCAATCCAAACTGCCGTCCACAGGTAACAGAATGCAGTGAGAGATCAAAAACATTAAACCGTGTTTATCCTGTGGAAAGTTACATCTACGAAGCACTTGCCGTTTTCGGGGTGCTAAGTGCCATAAATGTGGTAAAGTTGGACACATCAAGACTGTTTGCAGAAGTTCGAATACTTATGTTGCTCAACATTCTTATAATTCTCCCAAGCTGTCTAGTAAAATGGAGTCAATGTGTCTTTCAACCTTTCAAAATACTCAAGCTAATCCAATGAAAACCTCCACTACAAGTTCGGAAACTCAAGTGTCAACTGTTTTCAAAGATGAGGTAGCTGAGTTACAGTGCGAACTGTCGAAAACACGGAAAAAACTGAATGAGATGAGAGAGCAACTGATTAAAATTGAGGAATTGCTGCATATGCATAGACTGCGTCTGTCGAATGCAGAGCATACAAGTACCCGTGAAAGTCCTGCAAAACTTTTCAAATCTCGAATTCTCAAAAAGCATCTGATGTCCGCGACTTCTAATGTACATTATTACAAAGGTAATGACTATAGACCTTCTGTTGGAATTATACTACAAAAAATGGGAAATCGAGTGGTGAAGATATTAGACATCAAAGATCACTCAGTTCATAACGGACACCTGGACAAAGTGACAATAAATGAAGTAGGTCGTTCCAATTATTATTTTAATGATTCCGCTAATAATCCTGATTTTGTAGATAATTCAGAAATAGGTCCAGATAATACTGATGAAAATAATATCACAGAATCAGTTAGGTCGCAGCTACTTTCAAGCAAACCGAGACATCGTTATAAGTACGCAAGGAGACATTCGACGTGTGGCGGATGTGGTGATTGACAATTTCTATCTCTGTATTGTTTAAATACTTACTGTTGACTGTTGATGTGTTTCTTATATGAATTGCATTAGAATTCCGCTAAATACAAATTCCTGAATTCCGCCCTCTCTGTGTTTTGTTTGGATTCTTGTAATTCGGTCATCTCGAAATACTAATATTACGACTACAAATAAATTACTACAATTTCCAAACTGGTTTCAGGTTGATGATTGCATATGTTGCTTTTCAAATTCTGTCTGTGTTTGATATCTTCGTGCGTTCCGACTGCCTGTAGTTGGAGCGAGGCTGGCTGACCAGTTAAGTGAAGGGTGTAACCTCTGTTAAATCTCTCCCATTGATGGTGATTGGTGC